TTTAAGTCTGTTTGGTTGCTGGAAAAATGCCGGAAAAACGAAATTTTTAGAGTTGTGAGAGAGAAACTTTTAACAACGATTTTGAGATTAAAAGTGTGAATGTTAGCTAATTTAGAGAATGCAGATAAATAGAACTCAAGTTTAGTTGAAGGTTTAATGGGATTTCTTGTATTGCATTGTTGATATGGCAGAGATTAGTTCAGCATCAGCCCACGCAGCATCCAACTTCAGAGGAGTTGAGTATTGGGCAAATCAAGTTTAAGGCTTTTGATTTGGGAGGCCATCAGATCGCCAGGAGAGTCTGGAAAGATTACTACGCCAAGGTACATGATCCTAGATTTGTACACCAACTTTATTCCGTTGTTATGTGAACTGATATTGAATTGGTGTCATGATCTCTTGGTGCCAGTATTGGAGTTGGTCCTAGTTGATTGAGAATGCTCAATGCATCTTTGATTCATTCCGGAATTGCACATGTAAAGAATTGGTTGCAAAGGGCAACCCCATTGTTGGGTAACATAGAACTTTTTGTAATGGGTTCCCTATTTGGTTCTTGTAGAAATTGGTGTTTAATATATCTTTATGAATTATGTAGCTCCATGCTGTATTGGATTTTGGATGAAGTTAGCCATTTAGTTAAGATTACCATGTCAACCATGGATAAGCCATTTACTTGATTAATTTGGGAAGAGTTAGAACTGATTACGCTCTAGAATATTTCACTTGATATCTGCATTTTCTTTTTCTTGACAGTACATTTTTATGATATTGCCTCCATAATCCCAGATAATGATTCCTGTGATTATCTGATTCATGGGAGGCAAAGAATGAGATTGGGGAGCTCGCTGATAGAGCCTTTGTCTAGGAAGGTGTTCTAATAGTATCTCACCAAAAAAATGCCAACAAATGATTTTAGGCACATTGTGTGTCTTCTTTCAAATATGTAATAGGTCTAATTTTCAAGGGAAGAAAAATTTTGTAATGGGTTTATTTCTTCTTTATATGTTTTTTCTTTGCTTAAATATCTGAAAATATCGGTCAGTTTCTTTTAGGATATAGGCTGATTGCTTTAAACCATGTGTTAATTTAAAATTATTATTAAAAAAAAATGGGGGATGTGAATTTTCCTCAATGTTGCTGGAGTATATATCTTGCGATGAAGAATATGATAACTAATATGTTCTTAGAAAATTCTCTTATTTCTTACCCAAGTGTAAGTAAACTAATATATATGTTTTTTGACTAGTAGGTCGATGCAGTTGTTTACCTGGTGGATGCTTATGACAAGGAGAGGTTTGCTGAGTCAAAGAAGGAGTTGGATGCTCTTCTCTCTGACGAGGCCTTAACCAATGTTCCATTTCTTATTTTGGGCAACAAGATTGATATACCATATGCTGCCTCAGAAGATGAATTACGCTATCACCTTGGACTGACAAATTTCACCACTGGCAAGGGTAAGGTAAACCTTGCAGCAGACTCAAATGTACGTCCCCTTGAAGTATTCATGTGTAGCATTGTTCGCAAAATGGGCTATGGAGATGGTTTCAAGTGGCTTTCTCAATACATTAAGTAGTTAGCAATATGAAATAGGAAATAGGATTTCCTTTCTTTCATAGTTATTCCATACTGAATTGAGTTGAAACGTTAAGCCTTTCAAAATCATTGAAGGTTCTATCCTATACAGTTTTCTTTCTCTTTCTACACCTCCAACTTCACCATGAGATTGTGAGGTGTAAAAGTACAGGATCATTTTTGGTGACTGACCATATGTGGATGATACTTAACTTGATATATTTTCATTGCCATTTCTCTCAATCACTACTATTATTGTATGTTTTTATTTTTTTGATTTGTTTGAATTCTCAAGCTTTTGAAAGTTGCTATTACGCTGATCTAGTGTCATATCTAATTATCTATCATCAATGACTGAGTAAGTTATGCACATTGAAAATTTTTTTTTGCACATTTAATAATGAACTATGTAATAGAAGATAATTCTCTCCTTTTGCCAAATGCTTCCCCACCAAATAGAGCTTCAAGATAGAGTTTTGAATCCTTAATCACTGTCGTTACCTTATTGAGGGCAGCATGCACATTTACATTGTGAATCATGGACTACCACACGACCGCTCTCCTTGTTTGCGGGATTCAATTTGATGGATTGCTGTTTCTAGGTAAAATCAAACAAATGGTTCCCTTTGTAATACCGTGAATGAATTGGATGGTTTAAGAATAAGGCAACCCTTCATTAATCTTAATTGGTCTTTTTCACTTCATTGTTGAACATTTATGCTGAGTAATGGCAATTAACTGCTTCCCAATTAGTTGGTTTAAACCCATCAACAACCAATCATTCCCAGCACCAATACATAATCAGATACCAGTTTTTTTCTTCTTCAGTTTCGCCAACTCTCTGTTTTTTATTTTCTTCTCATCTACCCTCACTTTTTCTAGAGAAAATCATCAATATCAGGAGGAAAAACCAGAGAAAACTCTCCATCTGCTTCCTAATCGTTTGCCATCAACATTTAAAAAACATGGCATGCGTGCTGCTTTAGGAAAAACTTCTTACAAAGAACTTGAGTTAGTTCACCTGTACGCTTCTCTTCAGTCAAATTCATCCCTAGCCACCATCTAAGTCTATCCCTTTTTTATTTAAACATATATATAAACATTCTCACCTTCTACTTCTTTCTCCTTTTTCTTCCATCCCATAAAAGCACCCTTCTGCCATCACACTGCATTAATCTCTCAAACTTCTAGCAATGGCTGCATCTTCATCTCTGTGCAAACCCTCTTCTTTCAATTTGATTTCCATCCTCATCTTCACCTGCTTCATGTACTCAGGTTCTTCTCAGTTTCCAGCTTTTCCTTGATCGAATTCAATTTCTTGTTTCCTTCTTGTACTTTATTCATTGCTTTGGAATTTGAACATAAATGTAAAACAGGATATGGGCAGAATCTTCCAACTACCACCCTTGCAAAAGTTCTCTCGTGTTTCAACAACAAATTGGTGAGGAACACAGACAATCTTTCTTTCCATTTAGCATAGGCTAAGATTTATCGATGCTTTCTGTTTGGTTTTGAGCAGATTTACAGTGCGTGTAATGAGGAATACAGATTGAATGAGAGTGGAGAGCTTCAAGTGCCAGTTGAAGCAACAGAGCTCTTTTGCAGTGGACCTTGCCTGGGTGAAACGGAGTCAGTGCTCAATTGTGTTGATAACACTTTCTCAAACTTCATATTCTACAATAGGGCGACTGTGCAGGCCGTCAGAAATGTTCTCAATTCCGGTTGCAGCTTCAGCACCCAAAGAGGTATGCATTCAGATTTGTAAAAATGTATGTTTCTCCCAGTTGTTCTTAATGATGAACATTATTTCAGCAGGGAACTTCAATGTTGGAGAGTACCTACAAGGTTTAGGTGATATAAGCTCTGCAGATAGGTTGTCTAATTTGATCTGCTTCACTGCATTCGCGTTGATTATTGGATGTTATATCTTGATCTTCTAGTTGCTCTATGTCCATGGAAAATCCCCAAGAACGTGAGCAGACAGCAGAAGGGGGAGAGCCAAAGACGGTCTGCTTCTGTACAATATTACCTTGGTCCTAGCTAGTTTTACTTTTGCAACGACAATCCTTGATGAATTCAAAACCTAAAAATTACTGTCATATGTATTCTGAGCAAGTCTATGACATGGATATGTACGTTGCCAAAGAGAAAAAGTATAACACAATTGCAATATATTACTTGAAGAGGCTTTATTCAAACTGAAACAGACACAGAACTGGAAAGACTAACAGCAAATAAACATAAAAAACTGTGGTAAGTTAAAAGACAAAAGGAAACATCAGAGCCTCTCAAACCAATTTCCAGACTCCACGTTCAGATTTCACTGTCAAGAACTGGATCCACCACATCCTTTAGAAACTTTCACAGGTTCTTTCTTGACTGTAGCTGTCTCTTTCTCCTCCGCCTTTGGAGTTTTCATGGCATTTGTGCTACTAGGAACGGCAGGAGCATCTTCTTTCTTTACGACTGGTTTCGCATCTTCCTTTTTTGGGGTTACCACAGGTTCCTTCTTTGGGGTTGTAGGAATGCTATATCCACAGCAGCTCTTTCTTTCCATTTTCTCCCCTTTCTTCGAAAATCAGCTATAGAGTTTAAATCAAGACCCTTGAAAGTTGAAGGGATATGTTATGGCGAGATGGTAAAGGGTATAGAGGAGCACCAATTTATAGAAGCATACGAGACTGCTGATGTTCCTTCTCATTTATTCTTGGTTCACAATCTTTGATAAAAATTCCAGGATATGTGTGTCCCATAAAATTGAGTGCAATGTACCTTGTGAGTGCAGAAACCATGAAGGTCCTGTTTTTCTTGGGCAAAAAGATCAGTATTTTCTGTAATAAATTCTTTTTGGAGATCACTTCTATATTCATGTATCAGCTTTCCCTTTGACAAATTTTATGGAACTCCTTCCTTGCATCCTTCATTCTCCCACAAGAACAATAAAACTCACAACCCCAATTTGAGAAGTGCTGAAACTCTCAAACCCAATTCTAATAACTTCCCCACGAAGACGTTGGCGGAGGGAATAAGGGTGGATTTGGGATAGTTGGCATATGGAAGGTCAGTATCTTGTCCTGGACCTCCATGGAAGCAGCTCTGCCTATCCTCATCTTCTTCCGATTGTATAATGTATAACTAAAAATGGAAATTTTAGATAGTTTATGGCAGAATTAGAGATAATTACAATTCAAAAAATTGCACAGTTATGTTCATAAAAAAAAAAAAAAAATTATACGCTTAAAGAGAACTGCTTTATCAATAGGGAAAAGCTAGAATTTCTTCATACACTTCACATATTTGTTTTACCGTCGCGCAAATGGACACTAGAGTGATACACAAAAGCTTTAATTTTCTTCTAACAAGTTATCATAGTCAAAATGTACTCTTTCTTATTTTTTTGGTATGTAATAACTAAAAATTGAACACTAAACCTATGATTAAGAGCACAAACAACTCTGCTACCACGTCATATAGTTGATGGTTATTGTTGGGATAATAATTTAACTAACCCATAAATATAATAAAGGCCTATGAGACCCAAATACGAAAAAGCACGTGCATAAATCACTATAAAGTTTTATATACACCCAAATGAATCTAAAATGATTAATAACATTGCAAATGTAAATACCCCATGCCCCTCAAAAGTAAAGGACTTTTCCTTAAGTGCTTCTCTCTATTGTACTCCTTATTTCTTTAAAAAGAATATAAAATATTATTAACTTGTGCGTTGGAGTGTCTACCACGAGAGACAATCCTTGAGTTTGTTTTGCAAGTCCCCTAGTCAATTCATGGTCAACTAGAGCTCATGATGCTGCCAAAACAATTATCATAATCAAAATAGACTCAAAGTGATCATGAAAGTAAACTTTCTCTGTTTTCAAGTAAGGTTGAGTTTATGACACTGTAAAATTTGGGAAACAATGATCAATTTTTCTCTTTTCAGAAAAAGAGATGTTGTAGGAACAACACAAGTCACATTCTTCAATCTGAGAAACCTATGTCCAGAGTCACGACCCCTTCAAGAACACTGATGTTGCATGAAGAAGCATGATCATCTTTTGGATGACCAGAAACCCCCAAATCCCATCATAGCTGCAATTCCAGGATCGATTTCTTGTTCCTCTTCCACCATTTTCTCTCTCTGAAACATTGACAAATAAATTGACAAATCAAATATTATTGTCTAATAGAAATTCCGATTTAAGAAAAGAATTATATGAAAGATAAGTTAGTGGACACAGAAAGCAAATTGAAGTATTATTTTTTTACCGCGTAGCACCTAGTACCTACTTAATACTAATCACTAAACCAATAAACAGAGTATCTATTGGCGTTCAATCTAAATTCCAAGGGTACTAACCTTCTTCTCTTTCTTTCTTTCTCGCCGTTTGGCGCTTTCGTTCTTCTTCTTCTTCCTGCTGTTTCATAAGGTGCTCATCAAGATCTAAGGAAATAAAGAAGAAAGAGGTAAGCAAATTCAACCTTAATTCGTTGAAGGGGAAAATTTGAGGCACTATGGCTAAAACGATGGCCTTGAATGCCATCTCAGGTTCAAAAGATAGTTTCTTTTAATAATACTTTTTTAAAATATAATTTATAAGAAAATTTTTGAAGCAGTGGTTAGATCCAACGGCTACTTTAACAGCTGTTGGATTTTGCAGCTAAAAAGTTGAAAATGCTAAATGGACATTAATTGTTTTTTCAAGAACAAAAGTGTTGCATCAGTCGGAATAACGAAATAGGAAACTTTAATCTTTAAATGTAATATTTTTTAAGTCCATCACCTAGGAATGGTAATTTTCTCTTAAACTGCAAAGTTTCATGGAAATCTCTATTGTGAAGATGAAAATTCCAAAAATATTTTTTTTGCAAAGCAAAGATGGAGATAATTTTTTCTTACCAAATTTCGTTGGAAAATTTTTTTGTCTTATAGAGACCCGTGGAAGCCCATATATAATAAAAAAAGATATAAATTTATTTTTATATATATTTGTAAATATATTATTAATTAATTTTTACCCACTCAACCTGATTAGTTAATTCAACTTAACCTAAATTACCCAACCTAATTCCTTTTCCAATTCTAATCTTCCAAAACATAATTCAATAACCCAAATCAACCTAATGCTTCTGCATCACGTTCATCATCCATGGATAACTATTGATGAATCAACATGGAAGAGATGGAAAAGAAAAAAGGCATCTTTATATTGTATAGTTCAAATTGTATGAGGGTGTACAACATGAATTATCATATGGGCAGGCAGGGCACCCTAAAGGCAAGGGTGGGCTTCCCCAATTTAATAGTTTGTGTTTTGCAGTGTAGTATAGTCCAAACTACAAAGCACCAATCCATTTTTATATATTCATTTCTAACAAATAGAAAAACAAAATAAAAGATCCAGCACATGAACATGAATATGAGAGTTCTAGAAGAGCAAGAAATCAGAAACCAATTCTTCAAGTAAAGAAGTTAATATGACCTTCTCAATCTCAACACCTTCTTCAAATGCTTCTGTATCAAAGTCAAGCCATCTTCCTTGCTGAGAGCTCATGTCTTTGTCGACAAGCTCATCCACCATCACATCTCCCATACTTTTCAAACCTGAAATTTCCTTGCATAATTCTTCTGCCAATACTTCCCTTCTGCGGGACAGCGTTGTACATCTAGTCCATCCTTTGCATGTTCCAACAAAAAGTTGCTGACATCTTAAGACTAGGCATTCACTCACACAATCAAACAGTAGTTTACGGTATGGCTTGGAGTAATCTTCTCCATTTCTCTCTTTTGCATTCTCCCTCTCCAGCTGATTGAAGGCATCCAGGACTATAACTTCATTGGTATCGCCTATTGCAAATTCTATGAACATTAGATCAGAATTTCTAAGCATCAGTTCAATGTAATTGCGCTCCCAATTGGTTGGTTCCGTATGATCAATAAAATCGAATGCTTGGGTGATATGCTTCTCATCAATGTACCCCAATGATATAGAAGATGCTGTGTCAGATAACTCTGTTCCACCATCTAGTTGGGACTCAACTGAAGAGATCCAGCTTGAGGTTGCTTGATCCAGAGCCAACAAAGATCTTTTGATCCCTGAAAATGAAGAGTGCAGCTTTTGGTCATTTCTCCTCATCACAGGATATGTTTCCATGAAGCCACCACAACCAAAGAATTTCTATTCAAGCTTCACTCATATAATAGTTATGACAATGACAAATATCCATTCATTTTTAACATATACATAACTATAAATGTAGCAAACTAATAAATTGAAGAATAGTTCTGAAAATCTGAATTGAAGGCAAGTTCTTTCCAAAATGAAGCTCCAAATCTGGGTACCTCTGTCAAAGCCATAGATTTTGTGTTTTCTTTTTTTTTTTCTTTTTTTTTTCTTTTTTTGGCAAAAGGCAAATCATCAAGTTTTGTTGATCTATATCAAAGTACAAATGAGAATCAACCCATAAGGATCATCACTTCCCATTACAGTCTTCAATAAAAAGGAAATCAGAAAAGCATAACAAGCACAAAAAAAAAAAAAAAAAAAAAAAGAGGCACTTCATCTGAATCCAAAAAACCAAAAACAATAAACATAGAGCTCCAGGAACAGCGAAACTACTCCTCAGCTAGGAAAGGTTAGGTTCAGGTTTTTGCCAAATACCAAAGATGTGATTAATTCTTGTCTGGACTATTTATGATGGCTGGGGTGCTAATCAATTTTTCATATTATTTTTAATTGAATTTTACATGAGTTTATTCATGAGGCAGAATTAAGTAATCCTAATAAAAATAAGAAAAGAAATTATAGTTGTACCATTTTGGTTATGTGAGCAACTTCTGCTTGCAGCACAGGATTCAAGAAGAGAAACTGGGCTGGAATGGAGCAGATCAAATTCTGTCATGGTCTCATTGTGGTCGCTGCTATCATCATGCTCCTTCACTGTTTCAAACTGTCATAACCATTCAATAAAATTCAAAGTCAAATACGTTCCTTATGTAAATTTAAGGATCAAAGTAATATTTCTCTAAAGCATGTAGAAAGTAATATACAGTTACAAACAGAAAAAGGAATTATGAATGCAAAGACTCTTACATGTCTTGAAATGTAAGATACTTATATTATCTGAAAGTTTATAATTCATCAAAACCATGCTAAGTTTAGGTGCCAAGTTATAATCAAGAAAAAAAAATACCATTTCAATTACATATCATCATTAGATCTGATTGCAATACCAAGAAGAGGAAGAAATCATTGAGAAACTGACAATATAAAGGAGCATAACTGAATAAGGACAAACCTGCCACTTCTTTTTCTCATCAAGCCCTGAGTTGTCATTTGATGAGCAATCAGAATCACCTGGGATATGTAATATATCTTTATCTAGATTGAGTTGAAGCCTTTTGTCAAGTTCCACTGACGATGTGGCCACTGAATCTTGCAAACTTGATGCAGGACCAACAGAAGTATTCTCTGTTATCACATTACAGTTGGATGACTCAATTCTGCATGCAAGTTCCTGGAGTTTTTGTTCCAAAAGGACACTTAGATCATCGCTATCAATTATATTAAGTCGAGCTGAACCAAATGCTGAACTTCCAAGGCATGTCTGATCGCTGTCACCAGAGGAATCAGTAACAAAGCTGCTATTCTTTTCTGTATCTTGACCAGAGGAGTACGGACTAGACATGGATCCTTTGATGGGAGATGAAAATGTAAATGAAATGACATCCATGCCTGTTTTCATATTCTCTGCGCCCCAATTGATGTGCCTGTCAATTGTAATGTTACATTTCATTGACCTGTTATCTTTACTGATCGATGAACTACCAGAAATTATTCCTTCAGAATGAAGATTTCCATTTAAAGGTTGTTTCTTTCTAGGTAAATTCCTTCTTCTAGATAGGGGAAGCTCCTTTTTAGTATCAGTTGCCACCAAGACTGTTGTCCTAGTTTCAGAGTTTACAGTGACCTTATTTCCAGTTTTATTCAACCCAGTGGTACCAGTGCCATTTATGGCCTTCGCTTTTCTGCCTTGCTGGTTGGAAACTGCAGCCTTTGAAAATGAAGAATCTTGATTAGCTGCAAAATTCTGCTTCTGGTTATTCCGCCTCAGCACATTGTTAGGCCTGTTTGCAGAAGCTTCTTTCTCCAAAGTCATTTGCATGATTGTCTGGCTCTTAGAAAAGTGTTTTGCTTTGATATCATTCTTTTCCTTCTGGTTCAAAGAACCCATAAAACCACTTGAGTCTGATCCCTCTCTCTTCTGAACATTCACTTTTGCTTGCACTGCAAGTGAAACCGATTTTCTCTCCTTCCCCAAACTGGGAGAAATACCCTTTTCAAAATCCCTAGATGTCCTCAACGCCCTAGACATTGGTGAATAATCTGATCTGCCCTGTTGGCCTTTTATAGTCTTAGATGAACTGGGCTCACCAGGTCTCTGAGATCTGGATGTTTTATCTCTACTTTCCATTTTCTCTTTCAAATCTCGAACTTTTAAAGGAACTGGAGAAGACCTCAGTGATGATACTCTATTCTTGCTAGTTGCCTGGGGACTTGCCTCAATTATCTTTACAGCAGCCTCCATTATATAATCTGCATTTCTCATTATGAACCCTGGACTCTTGATAGGAGACAAAAGCTTGTGGTGTGTTATTGGAATTGATTTCACTGATTTTGGAGGCAAACTCTCATTCTGAAATCTCTCAATTGGTCGACTCTGAACCTTGTGGAACCTTGATTCAGAGGAATTTGAAGAAGACACATCAAACTTATGGTGCATGTTGGAGTGTTCCATTGGGTTATATCCATTCCACAAGCTAGGACTAGTCTCATAATGAGATGCTCTCAGAGAGCGGGATCCCAAATATGGGGTAGAACATAGATCTGGAACATTTGATGTAGGTAATGAATCCAAACCCATAAGCCTAGCAACTACCCCAGGTGCTCTAGTCCCATATCCCTCATCACTAGTCACTGATGAAGCAGAGGTAAATTCACTGCTTTCTTTGTAGCTCGAACTTGCTTTTCTCTCGTCCAAGTCTATCTGGTAATGAAGTGGGAATTAGACAAACAATATCAAACCCCCAACCCAAAGTTTAGGGGGAAAAAAGGGAGAAGAACAAAGTGCAAATGAAGTGGGAATTATACCAAACGAGGGTAAGGTCCTGCTACATTTTCGACTGGTTTTCCATGTTTTGATACTTCTACATTCAAAATGCCAAACAAAATATGCGTGATCATAAATATACTGAACTGACAAAAGCATTGAACCTATACATGTAGAATCATATCTTCAAGGAAAAGAAACATACCAGACAATTCACCATGGTTAGAGAACAACTTCTTCCTAGATTTACCACTCCAATCAAACAAGTGAAAAAATCCTCCCTTGGAACGTTTCTTCTCAACCTCCATTCCCTCACCAAGGTCCAAACCAAAAATGCAGAAACTAGGAATCATCCAAATTGAACCCAGAAGTTAATATATACAAGGTGTTATCACACTTCAGTACATCAATATAGAGAAATTGGGAAAAGAAAGGCTAGCACGATAGCACCTACATTTAGCTCATTCAGCTGTATGAAAGAGAGAGAGAGAGAGAGAGAGAGATTACATTTTTATTCTTTAAAGAAAGAAACTAAGAAGAAGAGAATGAGGGAATTCTCATAGAATAGAGTAACAAGCAAATTAGATCTCCTTAATCCTGCACTATAAGGCGACAGAAACAACGGGGACTATAACCATTTCCAAAATCGGAAAAGAACTCACCTTGAAAATCAGAAGAACTCCAAGCACGTCTCAACCCCTTGTACCAAAATCAGAACCATCAATAAATCTCATCTCTTGAGCACAATGGGAGTACCCAGAAAGAGCTAAAGCCCAACTGGGTGCTCTCTTAGGGGTCCAAAAACACAAACTTTGAAACATTACAATCAATCTTCCACTAAAATCATCATCAAGGGAAACCCCATTTGCAAAATTTCCCCTTTGTTCAATGGGTTTCTTCCCCTACAATTTTGGAAATGGAATGTAGCTGACCAATTAAAGTAGATGTAGAATTAAAGAATGTGCACAAAAAAGTACACAGAGAGATGATGAATGATGAGAAGGAAATACTATTGGATGATGTTAGCAGGTAGTGGGGAGTGAGATTTGAAAGCAGACATGATGAGGAGTAAGAGTAAGAGGTAAGAAAGGGTCAAATCATAGAAAGCAGTAAAAGAAGAAGAGGTTTGACGTTTGCAAAGAGGAAGAAATTTCTGGTTTTATTTTTGAGCATTAAAATCTTGGGGAGGAAGGAGCAAGGGGCACAAGGTACAAACCGTGCCTCCGCCATTCAACATTTATTTTTGGACTTTTGTTTGGTTGTCCTTTGTACCCAAACTATTATCCTCGATTCCTTAAAGAAAAAAAAAAAAAAAAACACTATTATACTCTATCGACTATTTTATACATTTATTAACTGCTCGATATCCGATATTCACATTAAATTTCTACTAATTTAAAATCGAGTTGCATTGGATTCTATTAAGGAGAAAACTCTTCCAATTACTGTTTTTTCATTCACAAAATTCGAACTCGAAAACTCAAAACTTCATTTAAGGAACCGAATTTTTTTCACTCAAACTAACAAGCTGTTAATTTTTAATTTATATATTGTAAAAAACAAAAATGATTTATTTTTTATTTTAAATACTCCCGTGATAAGAGATTCCTTTATTTTAAATTTATTTTAAATTAATTATTATTTTTATTAATCTCATAATATTCCGTAATCACATTAAATTTTTGATTAATTTAAAATTGAGTTGCATTGAATT